TTAAAAAGGATGCGGAATGGTGTTGGAACACCGAACATCAGGAGGCTTTTGACGGGGTTAAAGACAGCCTTCTGCATGCACCAATACTGGCGCTGTTAGACCCTGATCGTCCTTTCCGCGTCGTCTGTGACGCTTCGGACTTCGCCATCGGCTGTGCACTACTGCGAGCAGACGCCGAGGGGCGAGATCGGGTGATCGCGTTCGAACCTCGAGAGCTCAAAGCTGCAGAGAAGAACTACCAAGTTCATAAGTTCATGGCAAGGAGCTACTTGCGATGAAGTATGCAGTTGTCAAGTTCAGAGTCCACCTGCTCGGCTCCAAGCCGTTTGTGAACTATGAAAGTCATGCGTCACTACGCACTGCGACTCAGTCGCCCCACCTCTCGCAGAGGATAGATAGATAGCTATCCTTCTTCGCGGAATACAACTTCGAGGCGAAGTATAAGCCGGGGAAGCAGAATGCTTTGGCTGATGCATTGTCACGCAGACCAGACTATAAGCTTGCTGATGTTACAACTGTAACGTCTTCTGTGACGGATTTGATCCGCACCGCGTATGCGGGTGATGGAATGTGTGTAGCGTTACTACGGGCTCTAGGGAGCAAGGAGTTGGGAAACTCGGACAAAAAATTGTCATCAAGATTGCGCGCACGATTGCACTGATATTTGTTGAATAATGGTTTGCTATATTATATCACCGATCAACGGATACACTACAAATTGTGGTTCCCCATGATGAGATTTAAAATATCGCATTCTCTATGAGGCTCACGATACATCACTCAGTGGTCGCCTCGGTCGTGAGAAAACGTACAACTCTGTGCGGCGCCACTGTTGGTGGTCCAAGTTGTACAAATGGGACGAGCACCTATGTGCGCACGTGTGAGACGTGTCAACGGGTGAAACCCGCTGCATATGCGGCTGCGCCGCTGGCCAGATTACCGGTACCCGCTGGGTGCTGGCAGTCCATGAGTTTGGACTTTGTGTTTGGCCTGCCGAAAGGTTCGGCAGGCAACACGGGTGTCGTGATATTCGTCGACCGGTTGAGCAAGATGGATCATTTGGCGGCGGTGTCAGTCACCATCGACGGAGTCGGTACAGCAACGCTGATCCTGGATCGTGTTTTCCGACATCACGGACTCCCAGAGTCGATTTTCTCTGATAGAGATCCTCGTTTTACGGGAAACGTTTGGTCGACTATCTTGAAGGTGCTAGGCACCAAGTTGGATATGTCGACAGCGGATCATCCGCAGACTGATGGCAAAACCGAAAGGGTGAATCACGTCATCGAAGAGTTCTTCGCAGCGTCTGCGCTGAGACACACTGGAGCACAATGTTGCTACTCGTAGAGTTTGCGCTGAACGATGCAGTGCATTCGTTTACCGGCAACATGCCGTTCTACGTGAGCGGTCTAATTCACCCTCGCGTCCCGCTGACGCCGCCATCTCATGACTTAGGGCTTGGTGGGGAAGGAATAGCCGATCGGCTAGATGATGTCAGCCCCCTCACCGTCCGCAAAGAAGTCAATGACTTCTTCTCTACCAGACTGAGTGACCTACGATACGTTCTCGATGCGGTGGCTGAAAGCCAAGACCTGCAGAACGAATATGCAGATGAAATAGGAAAAGGCAAAATAGAAAGCTTTAAGGTCGAAGAACTGTTTTATTAAGCTCTAAAATCCTTCGTACACATACATCCTCTGTTATCTTCCGGACGAAGCTTCGTCCACAGTTTATTGGGCCGTTTAAGGTTATGGCCAAGTGGGGCGTAGCGTATACGCTAGAATTTCCCAAACAGATCGCACCCACCCGGTGTTCTACGTGGGTTTGCTCAAGCCGTATAGGAATCGCATGTGAACGCGGAAGCGTTGGCGCCC